CCTAGCACTGTCCTCTCTGCGTGCCCACAGACGGCTCCAAGAAGAAAAACAAACACAGAAGCAGAAAGCCAGGCAAAGGCACTGTGGAAAAGTGGGCCACCATCCAGCTCTTCCCTGTGGCATGCCTCCCCCAGCCCTTCAGCTCTTCCCTGCTATTTGAAGGGCAGCATGGCTGTCCTTCAGAAAGGAGCTGGTGGATCTGGAGCAAAAGGCAGGAGCGACAGCCTCGGGGGTGGGGGAGCGGCTTGGGTACGCGTGGCCCTTGCTGGAGCTGTGCAGCGAGCCACGGCTCTGCCGGGCAGGGGGAGCGATCGGGACGTGCCCAGCCAGGGCGATTGCCCGTGCCCACCCGCAGCCCACACGTTCTGGGTTTTTTTTCCAATGGAAACAATCGTAAATAACTGTAATAAACCTCACCACACCGGCCAAGGGCAAGAGTGGGTGGGCACTCGCCCTGCACAGCCCGGGTGGCAGCGGGCAAAAAACAGGGAGATGAAGGGACGTGGGAAGTGGGGAGCGTGCCGGTATCCCCACATACACCTCCCACATACACCTCCCGCATGCGGCGCCCGTGTTTGTGGAAAAAGGTGGATTTTGGATCTCGCCTCCGGGAGAGGGGCCGGCCCCATGGACGCCCACGCGGGTACTGGGGCCTCACGCCGGCGGATCCGGGCACCTGCACCACGGCGGCGCCGGAGGGACGGACCTCGCCCTGCCCGGGCAGCGCTGCCGGAGCGACAGCCCCACTCGTGTCGGCGGCCGCCGCGCTGCAGCGACACGACCGGACGGGGCGCAAGGGGCAGCGGTGATGCCCGGGCGCGGGGCCGGACGTGGGCAGGAGAGCGGCCGAGGGGTGCGCGGGGTGCCGCTCCCGCCGCAGAGCCCCGCTTTGTTCCCGGGGGAGGCGCTGAGCGCAGGGTGCGCGGGTGCCTTCCCGACCGCCCGGCCCCTTCCCGCGTGTCTCCGAACACGCGTGTGCTCCGCTGCCTGCGCGCGCGCGCTGGGTGTTGGGTGCTCGGGTTGGTTTTTTTTTGTTTTTTTTTTCCCTTTTCTTCCCCCCCGCCCCGCTTGCTCCAGGTTTTACTTCTGGTTGCCTGTAAGGGTTTTGCTCCTCCCTTCTGAAATCCTATATTAGCCGCGGCCAAAGCCGTGTAAGGAGCACAGCTCATTGTTGGCAAGTGCCGATGCGCCTCGCGGAGGGGCGAGAACCAGCTCCGGGGCTGCGGCAGCGATCGCGGCGCCGGTCACGTCAGCGCTGGGGAGAGGGAGCCGGAGAAGCCCTCTCTATGCTGGGTGACTCTCGCTGACTGATTCCACCGCCACCTTTGAAGGAGAAGAAGAAAGAAGCCGGGAGGTGAGTGCGGCGGTTCTCGTGGCTGGTGCCGGGTGTCCCTTTTGTGTGCAACAGGAAAAACGTGACTGTTATAAACACGCGAGGAAAGGTGTTTCTCAGCTGCCTGGCTTCATGTCCTTATCTGTGCATTACCGTATTTTCACCAAAATAATTGGTACTTAATTCCAAAAGTTGCTGACAGCGGCTAGGTGGGACTTGCCAATTCTTTGCTTGTTCCCCGCAAGTTAGCGAGAGTGCCATGGGAATCCGCTGCCTTCGAGGGCGAAGCTGGGGGGCTTGGGCGGCTCCGGAGCGTGCGGGGAGGCGGCGGCGGTGGCCGAATGCGACGCTCCCCGCCGATAGGTATGCGCGATTTGGAGTGGGAAGGCGTGCTGCCCGCCGGATTAGCGGAGGGGACCGCGATTTTCGTTCCGTGGGTTCTCCTTTTATTTTTCCTTTTGTACTCCATGGTGGAGCCACTGTAGATTTTTGGGAGATTTTTTTTTTTAATTATTATTATTTCCTCCACCGGGAAGGAGAGATGACTGCAGGACCAGCCAAGTAGTTTCTGCCAGGGCCAGGCAGATGCAGCTGGTCCGAGAGAGGGCGGCTGGATGTCCGAGGAGGGTGTATTTTCCTAATATATTCACACGCTAACTTTCCAGGTGAGCCATGGCAGACCACATGATGGCCATGAACCACGGGCGATTCCCCGACGGATCCGGCGGGCTCCATCACCACCCTGCGCATCGGATGGGCATGGGGCAGTTTCCCACCCCCCATCACCACCACCAGCAGCAGCAGCCGCCGCAGCAGCACGCCTTCAGCGCCCTGATGGGCGACCATATACATTACGGAGCTGGGAGTATGAACGCGAGCAGCGGGGTGAGGCACGCCATGGGACCGGGCAGCGTGAGCGGAGGGCACCCGGCCGGCAGCATGCCGCCCCCCGCCCGCTTCAGCGGCTCCCAGTTCATGGCCCCCCCCGTCGCCAGCCCGGGAGGGCAGCTGAGCGCCAGCATGCAGCTCCAGAAGCTGAACAACCAGTACTTCAGCCACCACCCCTACCCCCACAGCCACTACATGCCGGACTTGCACCCCGGTAGCCACCAGCTGAACGGCGGCAGCCAGCAGCATTTCAGGGACTGCAACCCCAAGCACGGCGGCGGCGGCGGCAGCGGCTTGCCGCCCGCCGTCCCCCACGTCCCCGCGGCAATGCTGCCGCCCAATGTCATAGACACGGACTTCATCGACGAGGAGGTCCTCATGTCCTTAGTCATCGAAATGGGGCTGGATCGCATCAAGGAGCTTCCCGAGCTGTGGTTGGGACAGAACGAGTTTGACTTCATGACAGACTTCGTTTGCAAACAGCAGCCCAGCAGGGTGAGCTGCTGATTCATTTAAAACAAACAAAGGACTTTTATCGGTGCGAATGAAAACATTCCCCTAGACACGGTGTCTCACTTTTCAGGGCTTGAAAAGGTGAGAATCTGGAAAGCAGAGTCAACTATGCGCTTGTATAATTTTTTTTTTTTAATCGCTGCCATTTTTTTTTCTTTTTGTAGCTTTGTCACTCACTTCCCCTCCTGTAGTAATAATATCTAGCGAACTCTGCCTTTTTATGTTGGTTGCCCCCCTCCCGACCTCCCCCTCTTAATTTCCTCGCAGTAACATGCCCAGAATTCCCACAGTGCCGGACTGTTAGATATTAATCTTGGCAAATTGCTTAATCTTGTGGATTTTGTAAACTATGATTTCCAATGACTTGAACTGCATTCAAATTTTGAGTGAACAGGGAAAAAAAATTGCATTAGTTGGTTGCATGAACTTTGAAGGGCAGATAATACTGCACAAAAGCTGCCATCTTGCTTAATTTTTAACTATGCATTGCAGTGCAGACTAATTTTTTTTTTCTGAATACGCTAAACTGGAAGCTTAACAGATGTGGGCCAAACCTTTCCAGATCAGGAAAAGTAATATTGTTACTTAAAAAGTCTGCTACCCATTCCCCCTCCCCCATATGTACAGACAATAATATGGTGTGGATGGAATGTTGACTAGTGGCAAACATTTCACAGATTTTTTTTTTTTTTTTCTGTCTTCAGCGTTTTGACACTGTGCTAATATAGTTTATTCAGTACATGAAAAGATACTACTGTGTTGAAAGCTTTTCAGGAAATTTTGACAGTATTTTTGTACAAAACATTTTTTTGAGAAAATATTGTTAATTTATTCTATTTTAATTTGCCAATGTCAATAAAAAGTTAAGAAATGCTTTAGTTTTTCTAGAAGTCATTTACCAGTATTTTTCTTCAAAACTCTTCCCCACTGTCCCTGGTAATAGAACATACCATCTATCTGTACAACCGTGTTGGTGTGCAAAAAGACATTCCAAGATAGAAAGTACACTACACCCATATATATGTCATGGTGAACTCGGTAGGTGAGCGGGATTTGAACATACTTACAGCATACAGCCTCATGCGTTACATTGTAATATGCCTGTCAGTGTGGTTTTCTGAAAAATAAAGTTGCCAAGGGCGCAACTTTTTTCGTGACTTGCCAACATACTTGCTTTAAATGTAGTTGTCCAGAGTTATGATGCATAAAGTATTTATTATATTTATCTATTAAACTTGTAATTTTATAAATCTGCTTTCATTTATATAGTAGACTTTGTTCTTTTGTATATTCATTATCTCACCTGGAAGAGCTATGTAAAAAGTGTTTGTAACATGGGAAGGGAGGGTGGTGGGTGTCACCCTCTGCCTCTCTCTTACCTCACAGGGTAACACAGGATATTGCTGTATCAGTCCAGATCTGCATGACACTGGAACCAGTTTTGTTTCATTTCCAGTGACTTAGGAGAAGGGGAATATATCGTTGAAGTACTCCACAGTGAGACATCTCTGACCCCTCTCCCCCAGAAGTTGTTGCCAACTGAAGCTACTGACATAAATCCATACAGGTCTATTTAAAATATTTCAGAGAAAAATGCCCATTAATTTAAGGCAGCTGACATTTAGTGCCAACTGTTGCTGCCTTCTGCCTTCACTCAGCCTTTGGCAAAGCTCCTGCACAAGTTATTAGTTTGGTGAGGGCTGTGGGATCAGGACCCTAATAATACATGTAATCCTGTTTAGCCACGCTTCCCAAGTTCAACAGGAGCAGTACCACTGAGCCTTCTTTTTGCTTACTTTTTAATCCTTGTCTTCTGAATTAGGAAGAAAAACAGCATGGTGGATGTAGTTAAATTTTAAACCTGGTCACGTTAACAGGAGGATATCACCACACAATGGGAGTGTAAATAGCAGTGTTTTGAATCAAGCTGGGAAATTAAAGTGATTACTATTTCTAAGATTGCCCCAGCTGGTGAGAAAAGTGATACTTGTCTTTCTTTGCCTTACAGACACAAAGCAGCTAACATGTTTATGGACCAAAAAAAAAAGAGTAAATATTCAAGTATTAGCAAAGGTAAAAAGAAGGAAGTGTATGCTTCCTGGAAAAACTAAGACAACAAAAATGCACTCTGCAGGCAGTGACAGTACATTCCTAGAAAACTCAATACCAAGAACTTAAAAAAAAGCAGCCTTCTGGTTTCAGCCAGTGATTGCTACTGTTCTGTGACAGTAAATTTTGCATCAAATGACAGTAAATCATAACTTACCAATTCACCAATAACGTAAAAGACTGCTTAGAAGAATACAGCTGTAGTTTTAAGAGCCATTGCCCAGTTTGCCACTATATAAATCCTTTATCCATTTTAAGGCTGTTTGATCTTCGCACATTTCATTGCCCTCTTCTGCAGGAGTTAGGGAGGGTGATTTTTCTGATTCTAATCAACTTCTTGTAAAACAGACTATCAAATTATGTGCATACCAAATTGCATAGATGTTTAAAGCCTCAATGATCTTCTAAAACCAAAGGGAATACTCTCACTTTAATCATAGGCACTTTTGCTTCATAAAGTTGGTTAAACAACAGATTCTTCAGCTGAGACATCACTACTTAAGTCTGTCAACATTAAATCTTTCCATGCAAGATTTTCCAAGAGTAGGCAGTTCCATGGGCACACTGGTAGAGTCTATTTGCGTACAACTCCGTGTAAAACTGAGAGCTGCTGCCTCTGAGTAACAGCAGCTACGGAAAGCACTGGCTTTGGGCAAGGCAACGCCAAGGGGTTTTATGATTTCTTAAAAGTAGACTCCGGGGAAATTTGCCAAATAATCATAATGTCTGTCTTGTCCCTTAATTTTTAATGAAGAGTCAGATCCCAGTGGATACCACAAGTGTGTATTATTTTATTCATTATATCATCTACTGAGCAATACTGGGGGCCTGACCCTCATCTTGCCAACACGAACCCCTTGGCAATGCTCCCACTGGCTCCCATGGCTGAGGCAGTAACAAGCTTTCAAGTAGATTCTCTCTGTCCTCCACACTGCTTCCAAATAGACTAAAGTAATTTATAATTGGAACCCAGCAATTAGTGCAGGATGCACAGTGACCCAGTTTTCCAGCTCCTCGCGAAGGACACTGCCGTCTTGCGTCCCGCTAAGCTGCTGTCAGTACAGGAAACTTGACCTCTGCACGTTGGCTGTTTTTCAAGAACTTCCAACGCGGTACATGCGATCTGCTCCTCTCTCAGCCACGGCCATAAATAGACGCGCTGCTTTATCTGGACGGGAGCGCAGCCCTAAGCCGGCCCGCCACGCAGCGGTGGGAAATACGGCACAGACTGACGCCGTCCCCGTCCTCGTTCCCGGGAGTGCGGGGCTCCCGGGCGGGCGCAGGAGGGGCGGCCGCCCGCGTACCGAAGGCTCGGGCGCTGCCCGCCGGCCCGGCCCCTCAGCCACCTGCGCGGGGCGGCCGCGGCCCCCGCGCGCCCCCCGGCGGCGGCCGCGCGCAGCGCCGCGCCCGCTGAGGGCCGAGCGCCGCCCGAGCCGGGACCCTCCGCGCTCGCCGGGGCCGCGGGGCCGGGGCCCGCAGCGAGGCGTGCCGGGCACAGCAGGGCACGGCTCACCAGGCCGAGTGCTCGTCACTGCCCTGCCCGAGGCACCCCTGGAGAGCCGTGCTGGGGGAGCCGCGCCCGCCGACGGGCGACCCTCCCCAGCACCCGGCCCGAGGGGGGTGCGGGCCCTAGCGAAATTTCTCGGCGCGGATTTGGAAAAGAAGCGCACAAACTGGTGAAAACATGCCTGTTGGTCTCAGGTTTTATTAAAAAAAAAAATTAAAAGTAAAAAAGAAAAGTTATATAAACAAGGATTATTCCCTGCTTATCTTGTCTTGCTAGGGGAATTGGAAAATTCCAACATCTGGATTTGCGGAGTTCCTTTCATTTGTTTCATTTTTTAGTCACTCTTCTTTTTTTTTTTTTTTTACTTTTTCCCCAGGGAGATGTTTTCCGCACTCAGTTGGATACAAAGCCCTGTGGATATCACTGGTGTTCAGCCAAAGGCTTGTGTCTGTGAAGTCCCATAGAATTAGTTCATCAGGGCATAGGTGACTTCTGCATCAACATCTGGCTATAGGAGTCATCCTATTCCGACCTTGTTCCTGCCCTCTTCCTCCTGCCCTCTGCCTCTGTTTCCTCCTGACTCTGTGGCACACCAGGGCTTAACGTGTGAGCTGGTACCCAAGGGGACAATAAACCCTTGTATCAAAAACCCCAGAAAAATCATGGGTCACAAGCACTAAGCGGAGGGAAATGAAGTCAGAAAAATCAGTTCTTGTCCCTGACCCTACAGCTGTCCTTTTTGAAGCTTTCATTTCTTGAAAAATACTTTGGGTTTACTGCAGACAGGAATAAGAAATGCCAATGCTATGGATCTGGGCTACAAACACCGACCTTAACGAGATCTATTTCTGTATCATCACTCATAGGGATAGCAGTGTGAACAAGGACTAGGTAACATTGACAGGAGCTGTTTAAATGATAAGACAAAGTATTTTTTAAATAGTCTGGCAGATATATTTGTCAGATAAAAGTGCACGTGCAATAAAACTCAGATGAGGAATCAGAGGAATTTGGAACCCAAGGCAGCAGCATTTTTTCAGGATTTCATGTATTCTAAGTGCATCATTTTGTCAGTAAAGAGGAGGTGTTTTACATAGTTTATGAAAATATATTTACACATTTCAATATGGTGTCACTATTGTGCTCACGCACAAGATAAAGCTGAGTCTCAGTAACTGCAACAATAAAGAGATACATCAAGTGACTGAACAGATGAGCTGCTGTTATGCTAGGTTCTCTGTTATTCTCTTTGCCTCATTTAAAAAAAAAATTGCAACACCAGGTTTTTAATAGAGTTGGTTCAGTCCCTCTCCATCTGCTGTGCCTTTCCCCCTCTTTAAAAATTACAGAGGGCCAATTTGATCACAGGCCCAAAACAGATTTTGGAAGACTTTCTTACCATATCAAAACCAAGCAAAATATTTTCCACCTTATTGGGCTTTGTGAAACGCTAACCACTTTTCACACCTTTTTCTTTCACTGGGCCATTTTTTTATCTCTCTCCATTGGAGTGTTCATTTGGCAACATATTGCCTATTTTATGAGCAGTAAAAGAAAAGAAACTTTCAGGATTGTCAAGTTTCTAACACTGTGGCTGAAGTTATTAGTACCAGTCAGTACAAAGCATTTCTTAAGCTCAAAAACTAATTATTGAGCAGATGCTCATTGCAATAAGATGCTGAAGGCAGTTTTGACCAAGAGCCTCCTAAGAACTGCCCTGTGAGTTTTCTGCTGAAGGCTGCTTTGCTAGCACTAGTGCACTGTGCAGGAGATGGGGATATTTCTGAAAGTATATAAAATGTCTTATCTGCTGCAATTCAAACACAAGTAACACAGAGTATTTCAGATTTCACTCTCTCTCTCAGCCAGGATACGTATTTTAAGGCTTAATACTCAAAATCTTTTCTATTTACTTCAAGTTACATTATTTGGTCTAATAAGTGATATTATCTCTGTCTACAAACCTCATACAGTTATATGCCCTCCATCAACTTTATATGAAGTAGAGTATGTATTTGAAGGCAGAAATGAATTCCTAGGATTTCCCAATAATGGGGAAAGACACCAAGCTTCTGCACGCATCTGCTTTGTACAGAAACTAAATAGTTATATTTTAGGTTCCTTATAGGATTATAAGGGTTATACAGTTATATTTTGGGTTGCTTATCAGCAGGCTGCACTAAAGGTAATGTGTGATCTAATAAGGAGGTGAAGGGCAATGTTCAAATACCGATATGGAGATGAAGACAATGTCTTCTTAAGTAGCAGGCAAAAAAAAAAAAAAAAAAAAAAAAAAAAAAAAAATAAAAAAAAAAAAAAAAAAAAAAAAAAAAAAAAAAAAATAGTGACCATCACAGAGAAAGTTTTAGGGAAAAGGTCTGAAGACCAGTAAAGCCTTAAGCACATGCTATGAACAGGTGGCTATCAGTGGAGTGGTCGGGACAGGTTGGTTTTGCTCATCATACAGGGCACAACCCTGTATGCTAGAAAAGTGGAGAGTTTGAGAAAACATGAGGTGTTGACCTTCTTCATGGACCATTATTTACAAGAAAAACCTGAATTTTCTTAGGTGAATTTAAGTGAGCAAAGCTGCTGCTGGATGGAGCCAATGAAGCCTGCAGTTTTGAGCATCAGCTTCTCTGCTCTTGAGGGTGGACACCAGAGGCACATCCCTGCTCCTGGACTGTGAGTAGGGAACAGTACTATTCCTAATCAGTTGTCACATTTCCATCAGTTGTCACACTGGAAACTGTTGTAGTCAAAGCATGGGCTTGAAGCCTGTGCTCAGCATGCTTCTGAAAACCACCTTCTCTCTTCTTAAATCCCATGTAATACACTATCCCACCTTTGTCTGGTGGGACTCTTTCAGTGGCCAGGAAGCACCACAGGCCTTGTGCTTCCTTATGTCCTCACTCAGGTTTAATCAGGGCAAATGTAACCATTAAAAGTATTTGGAGCCGCAGCGTGTTTGCTTTGGGATGCACGGTCAGCCAGTGCGGTGCATTACTGCAGCAGTGCCCTGGGATTTTAGGGGGATGGGGATGGTGACAGCTGGCCTGTTACAAGTCACCTTGTGACTTTGCCCAATAAGGAAAAGAGCAACCTCTGACAGGCATGTTGCCCCGCCCCTGGCCCCGCAGAGAGGGACGCGCTGCAGGGCAGCCCGTCATCCCATCGCCTCTCTCCTTGGTCTCCGTCTGAGCTGTCGCTTTTTGAGGCCTTGCCTGATCGTTTTAATTAAGCACTTTACGTGAAAGATGCCAAATCACAGATAATCAGACAGATTTTTACAAGGAGTTGTTTAACTTGTTGATACTTACTTGGAGGTACTTCGTTTCCATTCACAGTTTCTGTATTGAACCAGAGCAGTTGACATTTGCCACGACAGATAAAGGCTCGCTGTCAGAGTGCTGAGGAGAGGCTGCAGTACTGGGAGCTTGTAGCTAGGTGTAGCTGAAGCCCTGCCTTTCTTATTGATTAGCGTATTTTAAAGAGCAGCCTTTTAATTTGATTCATGGTATACATTTTAACTGGATGAATATAGTCAGAATGGGTAGTGACGGATGTATGGAGTAGAGCCCTTACCTAATGCACGAACTTGCTTCTTGGCAATTCCACAATGCTTTCACAAAAATTAGATTAATACACACAGCGACTCTACTAGGCTGATTCCTTTAGCCCAAACCTCTTAGTCCAGGGGTCTTTTTGACATGGTTTAACACATAAATAT